TGCTTCCTCCTGATGCTGAAGTTAGTGACCTTGAGTACTCGAAACTAGAACGATTTGATTATTTGTTTATCTGATTGGAGTTCAAACGCCCCGCTTCATGTTGTCGTGCGACTGACTTGTTAACATCTGGACTAGATGTGGTAGTTAACAAAGTGAAAGCTGGCCCTGCGATTTTATTCGCCTTAACAAACACACCCTTTTTACAGAACGTACTTATAAGAGTTTCTGTCTCAAAAATCTGTCCTCTGGAGCGAGGCTTTTATTGCCTTTGACATGAAAGCAAACCCTACAGTTAACTTGCCGAGACTGCCTACAAAATCTGAACGCAAGTTTACAAGAACACAGAAACCCGTGAGCCGCATGACGTTTGTAACGGACTACGTCCAATCCGGAGATCCACAGAAGGTACAACCCAGTAGCAGAGTTTAGCTCAAAACCGCCAACAGTGATTTGCAAGTGTACAGCAGCTGTTCCTGGGCTGCGAATAAACCCTTATTGATTTTGAAAAGCTCACAGCACTGCTACCGTCTGATTTTGCTGTAATCTTGGGATCGGCTCATTTAACTTAGCGACTGAAACGTTTCATTAGGTCATATTATTCTGCTGAAGAATTTTTGAAGATTTTGCGGAGCCTCCGTAACCCGGTAGGTACCTGATCTCCGAAGCCTTTGATTCCACGCTATCAGTACGTATTGTATTTACACTAACTGCTCTTGTTCCTTCAAGTGGCGTATATGAGTTCCTCCCTAGTGAATTAAACGGCCTCACTACAACTCTATCTCAACTGCTGATAAACACTTTTCCCTCTAAACTGATCTTCCTGGTCTGATAAAGCATAGGCTCAGTCTTTATCATTGCCAGAATCCGGCATCAGTTCGAAAGTAGGAAGTGAAGACTGATTACCTACCAGGCTGTGGCAAAGTTTGTGAGTTTGTCCGCATTGCCAATCACATTTTGCTACTTGTTTTGTCACCACTAAATCATTACATTCTTATATTTTGTGAGACGCTGAGTGAGGCGGTGAATGCAAAAAAGAGGTTAGGATCGTCGTTAATGGCGTCAACGAGATCAATAACAACTGCCGCAAGCAATGCTGTGGAGAAGTAGTACTATCCGGTCCAAAGTAAACGAACTTTTGCGCACTTTAAAACACAGTATCATTGAGGAAGCTTGTTTATCAACAAGGCTGAGACAATAATATGACAGTTCGACCGTGGTGTCCGGCGATGTCCACAGTGTGCTCTACTGTAAGGTGAAACAGGCGCGACAAATTGCGCGAGAATTCGTTCGTAATGAGAGCAGACTTGCGTCGCATCTGCCGCACCTTCTCTTCCTCCACCCCAGCTCGATCCCGTGTCAAGAGACACTAACATAATACTTTTTACGAGGTAATTGTACACTTTTCATTGGGCAATTTCGATCAACTGTTCACTCAGAAGCACAAGAGCAGTTTCTAGATATGATCACACATGCCCCAGAAATGTCAATATCTCCCACTAGATATTTTACTTAATAATGTGTCTATCCACTAAAAAAGGCGAAAAACACTTTGACATAAACTGACTGGACAATAAATGACCCAACGGATTCTTGAGCCATCTAAAATCCTTACTTTCAACGAGAGTTTCCGGATTAAGGAAGGATCAATAACTGGCACATGAGTTATTGTCAGGAAATGAATAAACATCAAGCAACCAGCTTCACTATCAGGTTTCAGAGGCATGGTATCGAATGAAGGTGTGAAATGATGATAACTTTAAGTGGATTACTGCAGAGCATCATGCTCCACGTATTATTATCTGTACATAGGGGACAGGGAAAGGGAGCATTCGTTTCTGACTATACACTCCTTTTTACTGATTGTAGAAAACAGAAACTCAACCAAGTAGCTATTATCAGTCACCGTTCGGGCGTCTAGGGGAGTCTGATCATTTTTTTCATGTAAAAGTTGTGGTTGTGGTAGCTTCTTTATCTTTTCTAGGTGACAGAGCGGAGACCTAGTGTCCAGTCACTGAGCAGTTGACTAAAGGCTCCCCGCTTAAAAACGCAAACTTGAATTTCACTGAAAATTCTGACCTACGTGAGCTTGGGACGAAGATGGCTGGCGATAGCGCGCGTACTCTAGAAATATGGAAAAAATTCCTATGAAATCTGATCATTATTCGTAATCGAGACCACTACTACTCCATCCTTTGGCATGTGTGAAATGAACTCACATATGCAATAAGCATTGATCGTTCATTTTTACAGAATTATTCGTCTTGCCACCACTCTACTGCAATACCGGTAAATTTTTTGCGGGTTACGTGTTAGACATCTAACTGGAATACACTGGCCTTGAATCTTTATCCTGAATAATGGTCTTCTTCGATGTGACATCGTTATTCACCTTCAACCCACCGAAATTGGAGCGCGAAGTCTTCCGAGACACAGACTGCGCTCAAAATCGAGTACCTCATGAGGCTGTTTGAATTCTGCCATTAAACTTACTTTACCTATGCTGATGAAACTAATGAGCAGATACAGGGAGCTTCAGTTGGCTCACCGGTCCCCATTTTTGTGGCAGAACTAAACCTACAGGAGTTAGAAAAGATTGCCTTCATCCAACATGAGCCGGGATTTTGGCGCCGTTACGCAGACGACACGTTTGTTATCATAAACAAGGATAGGCTGCAAAATGTCTACTGTCTGCACGGCGAAGTCGTCTCTGGTATAAAATTCTTGAGGGAAAAAGAACAGGAGCAGCAGTCGCCCTTTATTGATGCGTTCACCAGACAAAACCTTAGAGGCGAACTTGAAACGATGGTTGTAGGTAGGCAACAAACACAACATAGCTTCTCAGTTTTCACAACAACCATCCGATGGCTCACAAACGAAACTGTGTAAAGAGGATCTACACACGATTACGACTCATTGGGGGAAACAAGAGGAAAGAGCACGTGATGTTCGTTTCAAGCAGAATGGTTATCGGAAGTCTTTATGCGTCGCTGCCTACGAAGTCATTCCCCGAGGACCCAAACATAAACGCTTCCAACTATATGACATTAACTGCCTTTCAGATGTTACCGCGTCCATTGGTGTGGAGTCAGGTGTTGCAATTGCGCGCCGGCCCAAAGCCACCACGCGCAAAAAAGACCGTTACAATCGAAGACCAGTTTAGTCCCGAGGAGCAACCTCGGGTACTGTGTCACATACCGTGCCGAAAATGTTCTTGAAACTACGCAAATCAGACTAGGCTCGCATACACGGACATAAGCTGACTCTGCGCCGAGGCGACGAATTATCACAAGTGGCTGCCTGCACCTACGAAGTGGGCCATGAGTTTAACGTCAACGCTACCAAGATAATCACTCATGCCGGAAATAAAACAGGCCGAGCGTTGATTGAAGCCTGGCCCTCGGTTGAGGGCTCAGTCAATCGATTTATCGGTCTGAAGCCGGCATACAGCGCCTTGCATAGTCAGCTCCAGTCTTACACCATCGGCCGATGATTGGCCAGCACGCCCTTAAAGTGTCGCTTGTTCCGTTGTTGCTACTGCCTCTGACGATCACTTCTACACGCGTTCGAAAGCCTTGAACAATAAGCAGGATGTTTTAATGCTCGAGCAGCCTTCTTCTCCTTCACACACTATGCAAACTGATTGCTTCATGAGCGTAAACATCGCTTGCAAAGTTACGTTTTTCTTCATCTAAGCTCTATTTCGAAAGGCACTCGGACTTAAAGTCAAACACTCTCCGATGAGATAGTGCCAATCAATACAGGACTTCCTTGAATAAAGGTTAACGCTGTCAACATTCAGGATAAAGCATTCATACCTACAGGGAAAACCAAATGGCAACAATGGCGAAGCACTGGATTACAACCATAGTTACCTTGTATATAATTCCAGAGCTAAACTGGCGGTAAGATGCAGATCTACCCGCTTGTTCATGGGTTCCCCGTAAACTAAAAAACTTTGTTTTCCGGGATCATGCTCAGCACGGAAGAAAAGGCGTTTGTGATAACCATATTTGCATACGATAAGTAACGTTGACCAGGAATTCTATTCTACGGAAGGTTTATGTGTTTAGAACGGAAAAAGACTGCAGAGAGGTTAGAAACATACATAGACGTCTATTATGGTACCACGGGCGTTTTCTTCAGAAATAAAATTGCACTGATGTTGAAAAACATAGCGACGCAGAAAAACAAGTGTTACGAATTGTGACAAGTACTGGTTTGGAAAAAAAGTTTTGCATTGTGTTTGATTTGCATTTGGAATAAAGCGTCCTGTGTAACGGAATACTGAAAAGCTATGCGCTAGCAGGTAAAGCAACAAGCAGATTTTACGATAAAACGCACAAAATTCCATGCATATATAGACACATTGGAGCGCCGCATTACGGTTTGGCTATACGAAAAGTCAAATTTCTACAAACACAGTTCTCAAGTTATAAAGTGTATTTAAACTACCATCTACATGTGAACAACTTACATTCCTCCGGCAGCGGCTGTATGCATGTAGGTGAGGGTTTCGTAGCATCTCTGACGCCGGACCACGGCTTGACGGGTACTGGATCTCGAAATCTTAGGTCCTTCACAGGAGGTTCGGCAAAAGGTACACCCAGAAAAGCAACAACGTGCTTTTTTAATACCACTGAGGCAAATCCACGGAGTGTCCCTTCGGAGGTTTTGACGAAAACAAAGTTGTCAGAAGCCAGTGAAATAGGTAATATAAAAATAAGGGAGCAAAAACTGCACACTGAAAGTCCGAAAATCATCCCTAGAACTGCAGCGTATCTGGTCTACTAGGAGCCAATCCCATCCAGCATTTTCAGACCAGCCACCGCGCGACTAAAATTTTCAAAATATTTTCGGAACTTGCTATCGGTAAGCAAAAATTTAACAAACGCAAATTTGGGATTATATTTCACCTGGAACTTAAATTACAACTGCGAACCTAGCCAGTGCTTACTTTGTTTTAATAATTCAAAAAATCGGCGGCACAGTTGAGATTAAGAATGGTAGGTTGTCACGTTTTCTGATGTCCCCTGGCGCATAGAAACGATGCTATGTCCTGCACAGAGTTATTATTTAGACCTGAAATCAAGAGTTTTTGCGCCTGAGAAATTTTTTGATATTTCGCCCTCAGGTACCTTGCTAATTTCCCCGTTTCCACGCCGTTTTGCGCTACGCGTGTTGAGACCATCAGTACTGTTCGCTCATGAATTAAATTACGACCGTATTTTCGTGCTTTCTTACAATCTAGTATTATTATCTTAGTTTACGGAAAACCTGGCTTTTGACATTTTACCGACGACAAATTTCATCTATTTTGAAACCGCTACTTTCGACCTGCGCTCATTTTGTAATTAACAACCATGGCCTCTCTCATTTGTTGCATTTTAGAGGCCAATTTGCCTTCGCGGCCATGAGCGCGCTATGACGCGCGTTCTGTTTAACAAGGAAGGTGACCTTGTGTTTACGGCTGCAAAGAACGCCTCACCAAACGTTTGGTTCAGCCAAAACGGTGAACGTTTGGGCACCTTCGAAGGTCATCAGGGTGTCATATGGTGCATCGACGTTGATTACACGTCTTCTCGCCTCGTTTCTGGCTCTGGTGACTCTACCCTTAAGTTATGGGATGTCTCTTGTGGTCGGGAAAATTTTCCTCAATAACTTTTTTTGCAGGAAAAGAATTGAACTCTTTGTCCACTGTAACGCCCGTTAGAGCTTGCGGATTCTCCTACTCTGGAAACCTTATCTTTTTTGCCACGGATGATGTAATGAAAACCCCGTGTCAGGTCATGGTGCTCGATACTCGTGTACCCGGTCACGTACGTTATTTTCCATGCTTATCGAGTCGTATAGATGACCGGAAAAGATTCCGTAATGGTTACCCGAGGCTGTTCAGAGGCAACAAAAATAACAGCAGCAATATGGGGCGATCTTGAGGATTCCATAATAGTTGGCTGTGAGTCGGGCGAACTCAACATGATCGACAGTCGAACTGGGGCCGTAATCAAGAGCGCAAAGGCTCACTCGCAACAGATTACCGACCTGCAAGCTCACCCGGATGGCACTATGTTTATAAGTGCATCGAAAGATCATACCGCACAGGTAATCTCTCTAAGTTGATTTAGTCCTCTTTTTAGTGGTTGTGTATTTCTTTTCAGCTCATAAATTCATAGCACATATTAGATTAACTTGTCCATGCTCTGTCTGATATGCTTTGAACTGTGTCCATTTCACCATTCTGGTGGCCCTATAGCATCTTATGCTAGCCGTCTCATTCCTTTTACGGATGCAACCAACCTTGAATGCGTTATCTCATGAGCCAAATTTCTGTTTTTTTTTCTAGTTACACAGTACCTATGAATTAGACACCATAAAAACTTACAACTCTGAACGACCTGTGAACTCAGCAGCGATCTCTCCGAATAGAAATCACGTACGTTTTTTTATTCTCCCGAGAACGTGCCAGTATTCTTGATGCTGATTTATTATTTCAATTGGCCATTCATTTGACCTTCGGTATTTGGTCTCCGTCACTGCCCGAGTGGATCGACCTCTCCAAATCAGCTGCCGCAGATCATCACGTGTGGAGGGCTAGAATTCGGCACATTATCGAGACCAGCTAGATCAGGCATGATCACAGCTGTGCAAGAATCTTTCACGTTATCTGCAGCGAAAAGTCTAACAGAGTTACGCAGTTCGAAAACTGTCGACAAAGACTAGCTGTGAATCCTTGGGGTTTCCTAACAGTGCAATATTGTCTTCGTTGGAAAACGCCCATACGAAGGAGTTTTTACTTCCCTGGACTTTTGCTAGAGTCGCATCTATTACATAGTCAACGGTGGCTGGCGAAAGTGGACAGCATTACCGGCCGTATCTATACTGAATACGACTGCGATTACGCCTAATTTAGCCGACCTCAATGGTGTCGTGGAGGGTACCTCTCCACGCGTAAGAATCTGCGACAACGGACCTGGGGGTCGATCCATTCTCCTGCTACAAAGATGAAATACTGAAGGCACAGAATCACCACCATATCTTAAAAGGCTGTGGCGAACTAGGTCTAGAAATAATCTCCTCGTCGCCTCTAGGTGGGCATTTGCATCGGACCGATGTGGGGAACGCTGAGCTGACAGGTCAGTCGGCGAAGAACTACCTTGCCCCTGCGTATTTGAGAATGCCCACTTCTTGAAGTCTGTTGTCCTTCATCTTAAGGGATGCCCTTACCTGGTCAGGGATGCAGCTCAAATATACTTTTTCTTCTCAGCGTTGGCAGATGGAATGATTGATTTAGCCATTTAATTCACTTGTGACACCATAATACAGGAGTCTTCAAAGTTTGCCGCTGGCAGGACGGTGTCGTCAGCATAGTTTGGATCGGTCAGCCGACGCTCCTGTGCAAATTTAACACTGTCAAAACTGCGTACGGCCCCTCGCTGACGCAATTGAATGGGTTGAACCACAAATTTTAACGTCGTCGAAAGCAGACCGAGTATCGAACGACCTAATCGTAGTAATGGTTCTTGTTGGTATGCCATCTTGTTTCATTATCCTCCACTGGAATACACAATGGACGGAATTTAACTCTGCGATGAAGTCGACAAAGCAGACAGTTGCCCGTGGCCTTGATAGAATTCAAGAATACACCCCACCCGACGCATCCACGTCCAGTTAGAAACCGGTCTTGGTTGAGCCTCGTCCTTGACTCACCCACACCGACAAAGAGAGCTGCACCAATTCACTTAGACTTACTCAGTGGTAGTTATTGCACCTTGTCTTAACCCACTTCTTGAAGACGATCGCAAGGTTGCTGAGACCCAAGTCATCAGGAGCTGGTTCGTCTCAATAAGCCTGCTCAGTCACCTTACAACACCATTGCCCCACGTTATCGGCAAGTCTTAGAAGTGTCAGTCGTAATTCCGTTCTCTGATACGTAGCCCCCTACTGCATTGCCGATTCCTCCCCGTGAAAGGGGATCACATGGCACTGAATAGGTAGAAAGGGCACAGAACTCTGCTGCAAGGGAACGCGAGAGTGATGATTTGGTCATCAAAATTCGAAGGTTTCCGAAATGCTCACGCTAGCGCCAAACGTTGGCTGAGTTGTGTGTTATGAGGCGGCCATTCACATCGCGGAAAGCCATCCAGTGCATAAGGCTTGCTGTCAAGTCGGCAGATAAGTTTGTAGAGTTTTCGAGTGTCGCCGGCGTCTGAGGCCTACTCTGTGAAGGTCGCTGCTCCCGCCCAGTCGTTTTTCGGCAACCTGCAGCAGACTGTAGCGTCATTTTCTGGAATCGGTGGAGGACTTCTTGTTGCGTGACCGCTCTCAAGCTGTCTGGACAGACAGCTGTAAGACCCTTGAGCTGCCACAGTCCTTACGGCGTTGCCGGTGAATTCGATATTTTTCTCATTTGCCTCGGAAACTGGAAGCTTTAGTACTGATCATTTGCTTCTACGTTCTACTTCGACTCCGGTTGTAAATTGACACCGAGGTTTTTTGCTCATGACCTCTGCTGTGTCGGATTGTTGTAGCTTTGTAACGCAAGGCGTCTTGCGCTTGACAATTTGAGTGCAGACGAGGGGTGAACTTTAAGGCATGCACGGACGAGAACCTATCTGACCCATCTGCTCTGCCAGTTTCGGCACTACACATCGATCTGCTGTCATGAAACCATCTACGGGACCCTTGAACTGACGAGAATTTAGTCCCTCTGGTCAGTTGTAGGCCCCTCTGTAGGATACTGGACCACCGGATGTTTATGACGGCGCTCGAAGCATTTGCTGTGGACAAGAAGTCGGTTTTGGCTGGCAAAGCGTTGCATTCACCATTAGGTATCAAGAGGCAATCCCAAGGAGGTCAACAAAGTTGCTGTTTGAAGAGTCGCCTGGTCCTGACTGGTCACTTCAGTCCCCAGCGACAATTAACAGATCATGGCGAGCAAGTCTCTCAACTAACTATTTCACCTGAGAGTAGGCTTCATTATCGGGATGGTCGGTAGCTGACAAAGAGACACTATCCATGCTTAAAACAAGCGACCGGTTCCCATGCAAGCAGTGCATGGTCTACTTGATGCAAGATGGCGATCATTACACCATGTCTGTCAGAAGAGTGTCGTAGGGTTAGGTGGGACTCGGCCCCCGAGATCTCGGTTTCCAGTTGGCCTGAATGTGGGATGCGGTCGTCAGACACAGCGGGCATCCACACTTTTATGATGGAGACTGCGCGGCAGCAGATTTTGGATCAAGTCAGATCTCCCTCGCTCGGATTCAAGGTCATGAAGGCTGAAAATGACTACTTCTGTCTCCTGGCTTTCCTTCCCTTGATAGGTTTTGTCGTTGTCCAGCGCATTTTTCTCTAATTTCCTAAATCTGTTTTAGACTAGATACAGCCGTTTTTCGCACGCATAGAGGCCGCCTTATACATGGCGCATCAGCGTCGACTTCACAGTTGGTCATCATGGTTGTAGTGGGGACTGTGATGTAATAAAATAACCCTTCTGACTTGCCTATCCGTAACCGACCCAATTTATTTATCACCTTGTAGACTACCCTCTTTTGCGACATTTAGATTCTCCTTGGAGGCGGTCAGGAGGCGCGTGACGTCACAACCACTGCAACTACTCTGGGTCAGTTCGATGCAAAGTTCTACCACATGATCTACAGTGAACCTTTTGGTACAGTCAAGGGTCACTTTGGTCCCATCAATAGTGTTTGCTTCCGCCCAGACGGCTCCGGGTACGTCTTCTGCCAGCATCTATATGTATATATTTTCTCTTACAGTATGTTCCTATTGACCCAACTGTAAAAAACTCAGTGACTTCTGTGCGATTCAAACCCTCGGCAGCAAGGGGAAGACTTTAGTACAGCCAACGCACTAGCCATCTGAGCTACGTGGCCTCACATGGCGACGCGAATTAAGTCACATTTGGGTCCGGTTTATCTGCCTAGCCTACCGCACCGTCTAGAATCCACCAAATCAGATACAGTAAGCTGGCTGCCCAGCAGGATTTCCTAAGTAATTCACCTAGAATCCACCAGATGACTACCAGGCTCACGTAATTCCTAGATATTTTAGCGGATTTTAAATAATTCATATTGGCCCGACTGTAAACTCAACGCCTTGATGGGATTCGAACCCACGCCATCAAGGGAATCCCAGACGTTTCAGTAGGTCGGGTGGGTAACTTGCCCCAAATGTGATTAACTTCACGTCTTCTGGTGGGGCCTCGTAGCTCAGGTGGCTAGAGCGTTGACTGTGCTAAAGCCTTCCCCTTGCTGTCGTGGATTCGAATCCCACCGAGGCGCCGAGTTTTTAACAGTTTGCTCAATATGAATTATTCAAAATCTGCCAAAACATCTTTGAACGTCCAGTATGTGGTAGATGTAATTGCGTGTGTGTCGCGAAATCTCGCACCATCCCTGTTTGCCCCTTGTTGACGCAGTTCCATTTTAATTCAGAGTTTTATTGGAGTCCCTTCACTAGTGAAGGACAGCAATGATCATTTTAACTTTGTCATGGCGATCTGGATCTACTACCCTCGCTGACAGTCGTATAGTGACCATTGATCTGAAAATTGAGAAGTGTTAAAAACGTAGACGACATATCACTTGCCGTTATTAACCAGTGATGCCTCACCCGCGAACATTTTAGCGCCTGTTAGTTGAAGTATTTTCGGCTACCAACCCAAATCCTCACTGACCCGCTGGACCGGGGTTACAACTTGGGATGGGTCGTTAATGGCCATTCAATTGTTCCCCGATCTTGTCGGTAATAGTTCTCAGTTGTCAGGGACTACGAATTACGAATCAACTGACTGACCCAACGATCTAAAGCCCTGGTCTCCGATCCTCGGGTCGAAAATTGGGGAATCTTTTGTGAAAGAGAAGAATTAAGGTGTTTTTCCTGATCGGCGACATCTACAGTCATAAAATATTAGCTGAAATGATCGAATTCAGTTTCGTTTTGGGAAAATTACTTTGATGGGATTATAATACTGATTGTCGGCCTGCGTAAACCCAAGATATTTAAGACCCACCAGTAAGTTGGGTTCTGAATGCATTTTTTCGGCTGCTTTTAGAGTCGCGCTCGGTAAAATATGACTTCCTAAGTAGTATGTATTTTGCCTATTGATTTTCGTACCCTTAAAAATCCAAACATATGTTATGATAGACAATAAAAATATCCTCTCTTGTACTTATTTGTTAGCAGATCACGTCTTCAAATTATATGCTCAAATGAGGGCGCAGCAGGTTTTAAAAAGTTTTTTAGTTCTCAAATAATTTAGACACCGATCTGTTGTTGCATTTGAGTTTAGAGTTTTCAGTCTAAGAGCTGTGTACCTTCTGCGTAAGGATAATTGTATGTTACTGTCATTAAGGACATACCGTACATGGCTCATAAAGTGTTGTACTGGTTGTATACTTCTTAAGGATCACTAATACACGTATGCGATGCTATTTGGATGGACGAAATCTCATGACTGGAAACATTTTGAGCATAAGATTTGAAGAAGGTGTGATTTGCTACCGAATGAGCGCTCTAGAGAATATTTTTACTTGGGTTTTTTTACAGAATATATTTGGATTTTAAAGGGATTGAAAATCAATAGAAAAAATGCACACCATGTAAGTAGTCATTCTTAGCGGGTGCGGTTTTTGCAGGTCCCAGAAAAGAAGTGCAATCAAAAGCCAAGATCCCGGCGTGTCGGACAGATCATTAGGCTACGTCGGACGACAATCACTATTACAACCCCATTTAAGTAATCCATCCCAATCGAAAATACATTTCACAATTTTTATTAACATTTTATGAGAGGTCACTGGTCGACTAGTGTGCACCAATATGCAGTCGCCAATAGGCATTACCCGGTTGGGTATGTGGATGTTTTTGTCCACTGCCCCTTGGGAAATTTATGTGCGACATCCAAATCGGCATACCTGTTGGCATATGTTTCGTATTAGTTCATCGCCTTGGAGAACTGCGGCCACAAAAATGTCATTTTCCGGTCTGCGTACAAAATGCGCGTAATTACTTGGGTTAAGTCATTTTGTCTCCTTACTTCAACTCGGTGTTCGTCTGTGTGGCCAGCAGGGATTTTCTTGCGTGGCCACAGCATACTTGTTGTTCACGAGAACGAATTTCTCAGTCATTTCGTTGGCTGATTTGCTCAACCCGTCGCTTCTGTGACCACCCCGAAATATCTCTGCTGGAATCTTTTGCTGCTGGTTTACGCCTGTTCGCCGCCGTCTACCGCTGAAGTATGAACCGTAACCTGACAAGTTGAGCGGTTCACCGACTAGTTTCTCACTGCGGAGTCCTTTCGTCCGGGCAGTCAACTATGCTCCTGGTCGGCGAGTGTAATCGCGTTTGATTTCCTTACTAACCAGACATAAGTAGTTTGTATTTATAAAGTGTAATTCACATTTCAGCTTTGCAACGGGCGGTGAGGACGGCTATGTCCGCCTGCATGTCTTCGACGATGACTACGCAGATGTTGACCAACGGATTTTCAATGTACCCCCATAATTTTCTTTTCCATACAAAGCATAAACTGCGGCCTCTTTTTGTTGTTCTGTTCATCCTAGGAAGTATTAATGTCACTACCCCCTGGTGCCTCCAGCTATGCTAGCAGTGAGGCTGGTTCGTCGGCCCATGTTCATTTTCGGTCTGCACTCGACGTCTCAGGCGAAATTTCAACTGTAAAAAGGGTTCCTGTACTAGCGAATTGATACCCTTTTCGCCATCACGTCTGACGAAAGGTCCTCAATCCTCTGGGGAAACCCTTAAGATGCAACGGGTGGTTTCCCACCCGAACTTCGTCAATGGTTTACAAATCGATACCTCTTGAGGTCCACGTCTGCTCATCATCTTCCACATAAGGCTCTCCCAGCCATAATTCTGTCGTTAGACCGAACCTTGTGCGACTGCTTTGTACCTACTCTCCTGTCCTACACTTCGCTTCGACAGAACTTTGGGGCGCCCTAGCGTTGTTTTCATTTTAAAGTGATTTTGGAGTCCAAGTCGTTGCGATTTGCGTGGGACGCTGTCATTCTCTCAGAATGCTGCCTGTGCCGTGACCCGTGAATAATACATCTTACTGACTGTATGAAAACAGTACGTTCGCGTATTATTAGTGACCATGCGGCCGACTTTCCCACGTTCTATAGTGGGAGGTAAACTCACGGGTTTCCCCAAGTCGAGCCAGCAGTCTTGTCATGTGCAGAGCCCTCACACCCTACTTAAAAAGGTACGGCATGGTGGCGGGCGCCCCCCGGCACGGCGGGGAGGGGGTTAAAGTTCCGACACAAGGAAAGGAACCCCCTGGAATTCAGCACATGACCGTCTGTAGTACAGGGGACGCTTATTTCAGGGCCCAGCCGGCTACTTGGAAGTATTCTCCCCGTTCATGTGCTACTGCCGCTTGTATATTCAGCTCCATGAAGGACGACTTGTGTTCTCTTGGATACGGCTTAGGACCGGACATGTTTTCGACTCAAACGAACAGAAACGCATGCAAAGTGTATCGTCTCGGTCGGAAAAGGTGCTGCCACGAAGGTGTGGATCCACCTGGGTGTGCCATCTCTGTGATGGCAACCTCTTGGCCGGAACTCGAGGTCACCCCTACACTTTTTACGGAGCTTGGGCCCCTGATGCAGTCCTAGAAGTTTATAATTGTACTAGATGTCAATAGATGCGGGATAAAGTCCCCCCGTTGCGAATATTCTGCAATCTAGTCGATGTCCTTCGGTGATCTCTGCCTTTAGGATCATCCTAAAGTACTCGCAATCATCGGCTGTCGCAATTCCCGACAAGACGTTCCCCTCTATGAAGCAAGGACGTCGACCATATTTTGATCTCGTGTGTTCGGGAATTTCATTCTTTAACGGGTTTGTCTCCCTGTCGTGGGCCTCGGACCTTTGCGGCTTTGCGAGCAACGGGCTGAACTTTATCCACTACCGTTTCTAAGTCTTCAGTCCGTATTTCTAAGTGTGAGACTGACTTGTTGGTGAAGCTGGTCATATTCACTATTTCAAGCTGGTCCGAGTATGCTCATCTAAGCGTTGGTCCGCTGGGTTTCTATTAGTCTAGCAACACTGCTGTGCGACATCGTTATTTGGTTCTTGGGTAGAATGGTCTGGGGCCTTCCACCCCTCCAGCGCGACGCCATGGCGTAAGGCAGTGTATGCTACGTCTGACGTTCGCCTTCGTTGCTGCTATCCATTCTATACCTCCGACAGGATCGTACGTAGCTGGTGATGAAACCGCAGGACAGCCATTCCATCTGAATGGATCCCGTACATTTTTGCTTCCGGAATGCTGCCATGTTTGCATATTGCCTTGTGCAGGACCCCTACACAGTAGCGCGCAGCTGTTGTTAAAACTGGGGCTTAATCAACAGTGCCGCCTAAGATCTCTCTTGAAGGAAGGGGCTTTTTGCGAGCTATCCAGCTAGATTGTTGGTGGGGGCTCTCTCCCACTGACGCCTAATGTTCGGAAGGCTCCACGACCTTGATGACAGTGCGGTTCGCGGTTAGCTTTTCGGTTTTCGAAGCCAAGGCCAGTCTCCCGCTGCACTCTGTATCATCACCAGTCTACTTCGCTACATGACTGTGAGATAGAATCGGAGAAGGACGGATCCTGTGCAAATTGTCCGTAAAGACTTTCATCTGTCGTGGCCGCTAGGGGATGTAGCCTTTGCAGTGTGTGCTGAACTCTCTGAATAGGTCTCCAGAATACAGGGCGCCACTTAACTGCAACTGTAGTACTAACTAGTGCAGGACAAAATCGTTCACTCTGAATGGTTTACGTCCGCGTGTTAGCCTTGTAGTGGCACAGCAGTGAGAATGTGTGTATTCTGTGAGCTACAATTATCAAGTCAAATCCCAGACTGGAAGGAGAGAGACAAAAGGCACCAGAATGAGGGGTTTAATGTGCACAGAAACCAGGTTTGTCCTCTCGGGCGGCAGTGGCCGCTGGCGAAACCAGGGCTGGTGTCGACTGCGACCAATCATGCCTGAGAGTCACTTAGTGACGGCAGCCGCTTATGTAGGCTCGCAGGCCAAGCTCAAGTGGTGTACAATCAGTCTGTGCTGCATTTGCCGAGGGGTGGTGTT